TTGCTCCTTCCACTTATTTCCTGTAGTTTCTATTTCTTTGAAATAAACTTCTTTATATAATTTAAGTATCTTACTTTATTTGGCTTTCTGCTCTTTCTGATATCTAACATTGTTTTTTTCTTTTTTCATTTCCCACGGTTATTCCCAAACTTGGATCAGAAATATTTGGAAATGCCCATCCTTGTCATAGGACAACATGAATTTCTTTAGTATTCCTTCTCAAATGGCATATGTCATACCAACTTTTGGGTTTTTAAAAATTGTATTAAAGGAAAATTTATGAATTGCACTATTCCTATGGAAAAAAAACCCTACACCTGGCAACAAAGGACATTTATATTTTATAGTATAAGAAAATCTGAGACTATAGTTTTTAACCTGTGCTCCATTATTATTTTCTGTATCACTATGTTGACTGCTCTTCCTGAAATGTAGACTTTATAAACACACGAGTGTATTTTAAAACTGGTAATTGAGTTTAGTTTATCATTAGGGTCCTACTATTGAGCTTGGTGTCTATAGTGCTTACCACAGTCACTGACAAAAACTGATTATCAGCTACATATTTCCAAGTGGAACTTTATTAAAGATAAATTTGAAGAAATAGATTCACCTAATACAGCCTTAAAGTGACAGATGATCTTAAATATGGAGTAAACTTTTAAATCACATATTTCATTATTATGATAAATATTTCGTTTTCTTGCTGTACACATACTCATTATAGTTTGAAAGATTGGTGTTCATGTGTGAACAGTGTACTCATTAGTGTGCAGGTTTGGCCAGGGTGTTTAAGGTTGTAAAACAACAGGTTTGTTTTTTTTTTTAATTAAATGATCTTCTTGTTTCTGCTTGAAAATTTCCCAGTGCCCCCTATAAATAAGTCAGTCTTGTATTGGTTTCTATGAAAGATCACCCTTTTACTTTTTTCTTTATTTAAAAATTATTTTATTTAAATAAAAATGTACCACATGCTTTAGAAGCACAATTGTTCTTTTTAAAAAAGGTTTGATTTTATTTGTTAATTGACACAATAGTTGCATATATTTATGGGGAACAATGGGATGTTTAGATACATGTAAACACAGCATAATGATCAAATCAAAGTAATTAGCATGCCCACTCAAAATCCTCTCCTCTAGCTATTTGAAAATATACAGTACATTATTGTTAAGTACGAGATATTATTCCTCCTGTGCTTTTCTAAACTGTCATAATAACTAGAGAAATGGTGAATGATCAATATCAATAAAGTACATCATATTTTTCTTTTATCCTCAGGAATCTTTTCAGTCTTCGTGATCACAGGATGACTCACAAGAGATTTCAAATTCCTGGCCAGCCCTGGGGTTCAATGTCACAGTGTGTCTGCATAGACATGTATGTTCTTCCATCCTCTCCTTGGTACTTGGAAGGGAAAATCAGTGTAGCCACTTATGAATGCACTTATAGAAATAAAATTGAATAACAGAGTAATTATGCATGCTGTCTTCAGATATTAGAACAGATGCAAAAAATAAAAAGTAGATTTCTACAATTGCCCTCAATACTGTTCACTTTATTATTCTTCAGTTACTATTGCTGTCTATAAAGCCTTCCTAAAATCACAAACATGGAAATCCCACAGTTATTTTTGTGATCTTCTTGCAGCCAGTAAGGGCAAGTTGAATCCTCCTCACATGGTATAATTCTGACACAAACTTACTGCATCTTTCTGGATCTAAGGAACTTTGTGATAACTTTGAGCCCATTCAGATAATCCAGGATAATATCTTTATCAATGGTTAGTTTACTTGGAACTTAATCCCATCTACTACCTAATTTTTCCTCTGTCATAGAGCCTAACATATTCACAGGTTCTGGAGAATAAGATGTGAACACCCTTGGGAGAGGCCATTACTTTCCCTACCATGTCACACAATTTTAGGCAAAGAGGAGTAAACTGAACTTCTTTAGGTGGGTTCTCAAAAACATTTATTATCCTAATTATAAAAATGCAGACTTAGAAACTTAATGTTAAGTAAAACTAGGCAGACAGAAAAAATACACATTTTATGAATCTATTCATATAAAGCTTAAAAAGGGCAAAAAATATTCTGTGCCATTAGAATTCTAGATAGTGGATACCATGGTGGTGGGGGGTAATGCTGTCTGAATTTGAGCACAAAAGAAGCTTCTGTGTGACTGGGCATGTTCTGTTTATTGGTTGGGGTTCTGACTACTTAAGAGTATATTTGGTTTGTAGAAATTGACCATGTTTTAACGTGGCACTTTTCCATATATATTTTGTACTACATTAAAATGTTTATTTATTTATTTATTTTTACAAAAAGCCATCTGGCACTCCCCTTCATACTTCACGATTGATTTATCTCAAAATATTCATGCATGGGATATGGATTCAATGACTGGAGATGTAGCAGCTATTCTGTGACTGTGAGGATGAAAAAAAAAAACACACATTGGGGAATATGAGACAGAAAAATAAATGTAGACTAAGTCCTTAATGATGTTATGGAGCTGTCAGAGTAGCGATGAACTCCCTAACTCCAGATGTAATAAATCCTTAATTTATTTTAGCCAGTATTTTGGTTCAGCTTTCTTTCATTTGCACCTGGATGCCATTTATAACTTGATAAACTTCAAAATACATTTCAGAATTTTTATAACAGTTATATACTTAAAGTTCTGCATGGGGATCAAAATGGTTATATTCCATTTGTACTTTGTAATAAGCAGAACAATTACAGTGTACACTTGTTCTTTGATGGCTCCTGAACACAAAGATATGTTTTGACAAAATAGAAAATGTCTAGAGAAAAGCTTATTAAATAAATTTTTAAAATGCCATGTGTCTATAATCAAAAAGATGGTGAATAACAAACACTGGCAAGGGTGTGGAGAGAAGGAAACACTCCTACACTGTTGGTGGGACTGTAAATTAGTACAACCACTATGGAAAACAGTATGGAGGTATCTTAAACAACTACAGATAGATCTTCCATATGACCCAGCAATCCCACTTCTGGGTATATTCCCAGAGGAATGGAAATCATAGTGTTGAAGGGATACCTGCACTCCCATGTTCACTGCAGCTCTGTTTACAATAGCCAAGATATGGAACCAACCTAAATGGCCACTGATGGATGACTGGATAAGGAAACTGTGGTATATATACATCATGGAATACTACTTTGCCATAAAAAAGAATGAAATACTCCCATTTGCAACAACATGGATGAACCTGGAGCAACTCATGTTGAATGAAATAATCAAAGCACAGAGGGATAAATACCACATGTACTCACTCATATGGGGGAGCTAAGAGAGAAAGAATGAAGGAAAGAAAGACCATGGTAGTGCGTTGGTCTTGCAGAGGGAGAGAACATTCCTTGGGCTACAAAGTGGAGTGGGGGAGAAGGGGTAGGAGGAGGGAGGTTGGGGATAATCGGGTGGGGGACACTGCATACAAAAGCAATTTGTGGTAATGGGTATGCTGCCAGTATGAATCTGGCCCTCACATCATGGGTACGAGGGGTGACAATCAGCTTTGTATCTCATGAGTTTCATAATAAAAATAAAAAACAATTTAAAAATGCCATATGGAGATCAGATGCAAAAAAACAGTAAAAAAATTAATGATCAAATGTTTTATTTTTAATTAACAAGTAATAAATTTGTATATTTATGGGATATAATGTAATGTTTCAGTTTACGTATACATTGTAGGAATTAGGCTAATTAACACATCCATCACCTCACCAATTTACCTTTTATTGTGGTGAGAACATTGAAAATCCAGTCTTTCTGAAATTTGGAAATATGAAAATATGGAATCAACCTAAGTGTCCATCAATGGATGAATGGATAAGGAAACTGTGATAAATGTACACCATGACTACTAGATAGCCTTATAAAATAAGTAAATT